ACTAGTTAAATATATGAGGATTTTCATTACGGCGATAGACTCATCAAGGCAGAACATAAGTTTTAGGGCATGGAGTCTACCTCCATGATGTTTGCTGGACTGTATTGTGCTGCAGCAATTGATGTTCAGGCCTCTTGACCAATTTTTTGTGTTTTCACATTAGAATTTCAAGCTCTATCAGGTCAGTCACCAGCTATGGTGACGAGAGCTCTGGAAGCACTGTGTAACTGGAGCCAAGAGAGTGTCAGTTGCAGATTTGAGAAGGGGAAAGAATTTTTAGTCTGAATACTTTTTAAACTCTTTGGGGTTGGTTTGTTTATATTAACACCTGTTTAACGTTGGGGACTAACTTCTGGATAAAGGAAGCCTGTGTTAAATGTTCAATATCCTCAGACTTTCAGCAGCGAGTGGATGCAGTGACCAGGGAGAAGCGGGTATGCAATGGTATAGACATTCCCTACCATATAACTAGCCTCACATTCTCTGTGTGGCTGTAGCATGGACATATATATATGCACATCTACAAATGCGAACAAAAAATTCACATCTGTATTCAGCTGCAGCACTAGAGGTCTGTGTAAACAATCCTGAACTTCTCAGATAATCATCACAGCACAGCGAAAAAAGCATTTTGCCAATTGCTGTTATTCATAAGATAGGAAAAAGCCTTCATGTTATGTAGTAAAGATAAACACAACTCTGGTATTTTTCATTTTTTTTAATCCTGCACAAGAAATTTGTAATTTTATTAGCAATAAAGAAAACTAGGAAGGTAGTACTTTGTGTAAAGTGGCTTCTTACATAAAGCCAAAATTTGTGTAGAACATTACTTAATAGAAAGGACTTGTACTACCTAGGATTTGTTATTAAGTTTAACCTGAAGACCTGCTTGAGGTTGTTGGAAAAACTCAAATATTGAGTACATACTTGAGAAGAATTTAAGAAGGTGATATATTTTTGAAGTACTGAATGAATGAAATATTTCCAGTTGAGGTGATAGTTAAATAGTGCACTACATGTTTAAACAGAATTTGGCTAGACATCTAACTTGTCCTAAGTTGAAAACAGTTCCTTTCACCTCTGTTTTGTTTTGGAGGGAGAGATGTAATGTATGTTCTTCTGCTTTTCAGGAAAGGGTGGTTTTGGGGTTTTTTTTGGTTTGTTTTTGGGTTTTTTTTTAGTATTAGGACTTTCATGGTGCAAAAAAACTTGAGTTTTTTAGAATCTAAAATACCCTGTTAGAGATGTTCTATATAGATATTAGACCGCTAGTCAAATGCTAAAATTCAACCTTTTCCAAGGTTTTGTTACAATTTTTTAAAAACCTGTGTAGGCATCAATATGAACATTAATAGCTGTGATGTTTGGCCCACTTTTTTCCAAATAAACATTGCTTTTAAAAGTGTAATTGGCAATTTCTGTATAGATTCAACTTTTTAAATGAAACTTTTTATTTATGCATGCCCCAAATTCATTTAACTTTTGTAACTGTACTGATACTGTAAAAAGAATTATCACCTTCTGAAAGGTGACATTTCAGCTCTTTTGCTCTAGATTGTTTTGCATTTTTAGAAAGCACACTACCTTTTAAATCTTTCTGTAAAGGACTTAGCACAGTGTTTGAAATGTAACTTTCTCAGCAAAGCTAGCATAGTTGCCATCAAAATGTCATTTCAGGTAAAACTTTAATGTATAAGCCTACTTTAAATATAAAAAAATCACTTCGTAATACAGTATTGTTAGGGAGTTCTGATTATGTGGGTTTCTGTCATGTGGGTCTCAATCAAGTAGACCTCTAGTCATATTGAAGCTGTACTTTTTGTTAATACAAAGCTAAATCTATGCAGTAATAAGGAAATAAGTAAGATTCTAAGTGTCCCTAATAACTTCAGTGTTGGCTGGATGACTAGGGTAAACGGGAATTACAGCACTGTTTTGCAGGACAGGCTACTACAAGTAGCAACAAGGAAAATTTCAGTTATGTGCAAGGGAAACTTTTTTCACATGCAGGTTGTGAAACACAATGCCAGGTTGTTCAGAGAGATTGTAGACTCTGCCTCCTTGGAAGAACATGCCTTGATGAGGCCCTCAGCAATCTGATCACCAAGTTAGGTTTGTTTTGACTAGAATGTTGGACCAGATGAGCTCTCAAGGTCCCTTCGAGCCAGAATTATCCCAAAATTCTGAAGTAGGCTAACCTATAGAATGAAATAGGAGACGCTCTCTGTTTGGACAGGTCTGGATCAGGCCTGCTTAGAAACACTCCAGAACCTGCCATACTGGACTATTACACTTGCTTAGAATAATGCAGTCTGCACCTTAGTTTGATGCGAGTGCACTTGATAGTAGCATCAGCTATTTACTTCCTATTCATGGCATTCTGTCATTTGTGCTCCTTGGTGTTTAGGTGCCTCAAGGGACTCACTCTTGTCTTCACAACAGTCCAGGATGCTGGATTCCCTTGCTTGAGAAATCATCATACTTGAAACCTACCTTCCTAATTGTCATTCCACCTGCTGAAAGGATTACAGTACTTGAAAATCTTACTATAAGATAGTGTACTACAAACAGGCTTCCTCAAAGACAGCTAGCTTGGAGGTCTTACCCAAAATACCTACTTAAAGTTGTCTCTGAATTCTTTTCTGTCTGATTCTGTCTCTTCATCCCTAAACTATGTTACTTGTTTATTTGAAGAGACTTTGTATATTGCCTTACAGAGAGTGCAGCTGTGTTTTTGTTCGGATGAAGTAAATCATTGAGCTTTTCACTGTGGTGTGGATGTAGAATTTGCAGAAAATATTAAGTGACAGTTGTTTCTTCCAGGAAATGGTAAGCTTTGTTTTGGGATTTTGCAAAAACTTCTATGTAAGCAGGCTCCATCTGGATACTCCAACTGATTACTCCAGTTTTGCGTAGGATACTTCATGATCTATCTGTTGGTATTCCTGTATAAAAGTATGTAGAACAACAGGAAGTTCAGTCCACACATTCTGGTACTCTTCCATGGTGCAGGTCAGGTGTAAACTGTGCCAAACAGAACTTCTGATTATTTTTGTAGTCACTTTTTACTCACTGCCTTGTGGCACCAGAATGACTGTTTGCTGATAGATTAAATTTGTGCAGACAGTCACTTGAAGTAAGAACACTTACTCAACTGTAGTAACTGTGGCTCTTTGATACGTTGTCCTCGCAGTTACGAAGGAAGTGTAAGTCACAGAAGTATAAGTAACTGTACTTTTATTTTATGGACAAGCTACCTGCTGCTGTAATCTTTTAAGCAGTTGAATGCTTAAGGATCCATGATCTGAGAATGTAAGTAATAAAATCTTAAAGACACTTCTAGAAAGTAATTAGTCACCTGTTGAGTATTGTATTCCCCTTTTTGCAGACCTTTATGCCTAGCTTAGGAGCCAGTAGTTCCACCGGCACATCACTTTTATATGTCTCTTAGCTTCTTCCACTATACAAGTCCTTTTTGCTCTAATGTCAGTGTGAAACAGGTTAGGACCTTCCTTTAGGAAAAGTTCAGGAGAAGCGGAGACCAAATTATCTAGTATCCTGTAGAGATGATGTTAATATGAGGATATTGAGCTAATGTTTGGAAAGAGGCATCTAAGTTGAACTGTCTGGCAGATGGAGGCATGTATTTTTCTCTTGGATTTTGTACTGAGAGAACTTCAGTCCACGCTGAGATTTTCATGGCACTTGGCTGGAATTACCCCTGCTGTGTGTGAATTTTTATTGCCTCCATCTTTACTCTGTGTTTACTCAGTGGCTATCCAGACTTACCTTTGTACAGATTAGCTTTATTCTTCAGAGCACCGCTGTGTCCTGCTGATTTTCTGTGTAAAATTATAGGGTACTTGTTCTCGTTTTCAGCCTTTGTTTCTCTGTGGGAACCCTTAAGTAAGGTGCATTGATTCAGATATTTTTTTTTTTTTTTGGTCTGAAATGATTGTAAATCAATTCTTCCTTTTATATATGGATAATCAGGAGGCAAAGCAAACAAGCTGTTAAGCTAGTGTGCCAAAAGGTGGGCTTTTAGCAGTGACTGACATTGAATTCGGCTGAGACTGAGGAGTTGGGTTTGTCTGGAGCCAAAAACACATGTTGGCTTGAAGTGGAGGGCAAGGATGGTAGCTGGCATGGGAAGCTGGTCTAGTCTGAAAGGTGAAGAGCTAGCAAGACAACAGCTTGAACATTGTTTATAGTACAGTTAGTAACTGAAGATACTAAGTTCTGCTAACAATATTTCTATACTGATACATGTTTACTGATTTTTAACAACATTATGGATAACGCTACCTTGTGTCCATATTTCAATACTAATTTTCAGGTTGATGGGATTTACTGTAATTGTAAAGTTAGCATGTTGTTATGGGCCTGCCGTGAGTGAGTGTGTCAGATATTTGGATTTTGCATTTTTCCTCTACTTTCAGCATTTAAAATAAAATACTTGCAGTAATGTTGGATTACTTTGTGAAGCACAGAAGGAAAAAATACTGTTGTGGTCTGATATAGTAAGTGGGAGATAGTTTTAAAAAGTTGTTTAAGGCTTCTCAAATCAGCAAAGCCTTCTAATGTATTGGAGATTCAGCAGTGAGTTTGCACTACTGCAAATTGGCACCTCTGTGTCATGACCACGTATGTCTTCATAAGGACTTATTTAAAAAGTGACCTTTCTTTTTAAATGCATGTTGTGTTAATCAGACAAATCCATGTTTAGGGTGTTCTTTAGGTTTTGAAAATGCCTTTCCCATTTATTAGTGCTTCTTTTCTTCAACTTCTTTAATGTGCAGCTAGACCCTGTCCTTTCAGATCTCTACCTCAGTTTGTGATTTGCTTCAGGAATTTCACATAAAGTATTTTCATTGTAGTATTTTAGTGAAGTATTTTTTTACACATTTAATCTTAAATATTCAGAGGAGAAACAGACATAATGGAAATAGATGGATTGTAGATGATGAAATAAAGTATCATTCATTCTTATCTTTTTCAAGGTAGCAGTGATGGTTCTGAACTCAGTGAAGAAACTTCCTGGCCAGCATTTGAAAGGTAAGAAAAAGTGCGACTCAAAACCTGTTTTTCTCTATTCAGACATTGCTACTTACAATCTCTCTCTGTCCTGAAAAGGATGCTTTATTTTAGCGATCTAGAGATCTTCTATATGTAAGAATAATAATGTAGTAAGAATAAACTGTAGTAAGTTCACTGGATCGGTTAAAGCAGCAGAGAAGTACCTTCTGCTCACTAGTAGTTAACAGGGCTTTTGTCCAATTGGGTGCTTACTCATTGCACACATTCTTCTAAATAGCTCAGCCAGAGTACCATTAAACCCAAAATGGTTTTTCTGGTTCTATATATTTGTTATCCTGTGTATGCTATTTGTGTGACCTATCTGTTTTTCATTTTGACTTTCCCTGAGATATTTCATCCGTTCTTGATCCCTTTGTTCTTGTCATTGACACTCTCACTTGTTTTGTCTCTCATCTGCTATTCACTTCATCGTTACTTGCCCTTGTGTTATATGGGAAAACACAAAAATGCCCCTTGTAATATCTGATTTTGTGGTCCAGAATTAACATCTTGCTCCTTATCCAATACCTGCAAATGCTCTGGTGACATTGACCACTTCAGTACTTTCCCATGTTGTATTTGAGAATGTGGAAAAAGACTAACAGCTGTAGCTTCATATAGTAAAAGGTGGAAATTTCATCTTCCCACAACTGAGTAAGATGCACAATACAGTCTGTAGTTTGCTTCTATAACTCAATTTCAGGTAATCCGTCAGCTTCAGACTTGCCATGGATGACTTTTTCTGCCATGCTTTGAAGACGTGTTTTGTAGAAATTTTTGTCAAAGAACTTTCTCTTTATAGTCGGCAACTGTTACCACATACCTTATATTCTGCTTGAATTCATTGAAGCAGTTGAAGTTCTGTGTTACTTTTTGGAAGAAATCTTCGGAAAAACTCTCTATGCCAAAGGTGAACTCTTTGATATTTCGTGCTATAAATATGATCACATACATGGGGAAATGCCCTTATGATTCCATTGTGTAAGCAATAAGAACATTCCACATGAGCATAGAAAGAAAATCAGGTCAGAAGGAAAATCTCTAACTTCTATGTGCTCTGTGATGCAACCTGCAACATTCAAAAGGTTTTCTTGCTTTTCCTTCCCTGCTGCCTTAAGGAGTTAATCAAGTTCATGTTATTTCTCAAAGCTAAATCGTTATATGGAAAAACCTTAGACAAAATGGTGAACTGAGTTCTTTTATCCCGAGTAGCATAAGAAACTTAAAAATTTTAGTAAGCCTCAGTCTTAAGCTCATGGTAACACTCTCCAGATTTGTTGTATGGACTTCTGAGACAAAGCAGAGGTTTTTCTTCATCGCTGTCCTAATGAGAACTGGCTGGCCCAGACTCCCTCCAGTTAAAAGGTTTGCTCCATGTCAAACCATTATGTCAGAAGATTACTTCTCCAAATTGCATTTGCCTTCAGTACTTTCCTCTCTCCTGAGAGCGCTTTTTGCAGACTCTGAAGCTGCATGTTTTTCAGGGTGAGTTCCCTTGCCTGTTTCCAGGGAGAGGGATTGGGTTCCTTACAGACATTCAAAACATCATGTGTGAAATTCCTAGAGATATGCAGCAACCTTGTGTCCGTTCCTTGGTTTATAAGATGATGAAGCATGTTTTGGAATTTAATAGGTAATGCACTGACATGCAGATCTCGAATTTAAGATAACTAGAGAGGATGTCTCTACCCAGAGCTTTGATCTGTACAGTGGGTTTCCATTCTTTAAGTGAGGGAGAAGCAGTATTTGTCTGGAATTAACAGCTACTGGCAGAATTGGGATACATCCAGTGTTGTTAACGACTACTTCCTATGCAGTGCAAGTGGGAATTCAATATTTCTCAGTGATTTAGAAATAGGATCTTTGGGTAGGAGGGCTTAAATCTGCATATGCCTAACAGGAAGAAATGAGGTACTCCACACACAGATTCCACAGGTAACAGAAGGAATTATAACAAAAACTCTTGGTTTTCCTGGCCCAGCTGTTCTTTATAACTGGGAAATGCAGAAGGGATGAGAACTAGAGTCACTGATTGTTTTGAAGTGCAACAGAAATGTAGTATGAAACTTGAGAAACAGCTTTCAGCATTGGGGTGTCCCTTTAGGCTAATCAAAATTACTCTAAGAACTTTAATTCCAAGTCCCGATAGTTACATCATTTTAAGGTCAGTATACTAAGTGGCACTTCAGTCTCATTGGTTGTCATCCTGAGCGTCTCCGAATAGATTTCCCTCAAATAGCTCGAATCCAAGAGTGATAGCCTCCTTGTTGTACCAGAAAAAAAAAAAAAAAAGATTTAAAGGTAGAAAGAAAATGTATTTCATTTGCATGCAAAATATATGTTCACAAAAATACACAGCTCATATTACAGTTTTCTTTCCTTCATCTTAATTATTGTTTTATTTGTTATATCTTGAATGTGTTTTTAAAAAATAATTCATAAATTCAAAGATACCAGTTATGTTGAAAAACAAATGATGGTAAATTCTGGGATAGATAAGTAGATCGTAATTCATTAGTATCTTTTTGATAATTATTCTTGCAGCAAAGGCAATAGTTTGAGCTGGTTTAAAAAAACAAAATGACAAAAACAAACAAAAAAACCCCCCATTCTTCTTGTTTAATGCTGCTGACCTTTACTGTATCCCTTCTTTAAGCCTGTTTTGTTTGCCTGTTATATGCTGTTCCGAGTTCAGACTGAAACGTGACAATGCTACTTGTTTAGGTTTCGCATGCTGAGAAATACTGCCCTGTCCATTTATAAGCAGCTTTCCAGTTAATGCAAAGCTCATCTCACGGGTGACAAATTATTAGATTTCTACTTTGTAGGACATTTCACCTGTAAAATTCTCATAGGCTTGTACTTAACTGCCTGCTTCTGCTGAATTAGAGCTGATTTTCAATCTTTCAGCATTATACAAGTGACAAGAAAAATGGATAAGAAATAGGAGGTGAGGACAAAGTGCCTATGCTTCTATTGACTTAAATGGAATTCAGTCAACTAAGGGATCTGATCCAGAAAAACAAGGTTCAATGAAGCGAAGTAGTGTTCAAAAGGCAGATCTAGAACACAAGGCCTGGTTAGGGATAACAGTATAGATCAGGTTAAGGACTTTAAAATGTGAAGCTTATGAGTAAAGTTTAAAGCTTATATGAACTGGAGGATTGAAATATTGCTTAGCTTATTTCAATGTTACTTAATACAACAGTATTTTAAACAATGTCATATTTTGATAGTGCTTTTGATTCCTTTCAGCCCAACAACTTGTGTGTGTGAATACTGATAGAAGTTGAAATAATTTTTTGGAGTAGCATCTAAAGTCAGAATTTAAAGACGAGTTTTATTAACACGGTTCCTTTACATTGATTTAATCTCTAAGAACTAAATGCAGATCTTGCTCTCAAAATGTGTGTTATTCTTCAGTGCCAATAGAACACTTCAGTGTTACGAGTTCTGACAAAGAGAACATCTGATGAAATAAAAAGCATGATATCTACTCCTGCATGCATTTTCCTAAATAAAATTATCCTCTGTTTCTTATGTGGAAGAGGTGGCTTTGTGATATGCACACACACAAAAAAATACTATGCTGTTTTAGCAGTCGTGCTGTTTGTGTGAATAAAAGTATATGTAATGCATACAATTTATAATGGAATCCAACAGGAACAGGTTGTACCATTCTCTCGGTCCGGGGACAAGAGTGTCACGAAATGGCTATCGAGGCCACATGAAGGCCAGCAGGTACAATCCCCACTGCACACAGAGGTGTCAGACTTTCCCTCTGGTGTTGGTGATTTGGTTTGGTTTAATGATTAAGTGGGTGTTTTCTGATGTTATCTTTCTAACTTACATGTCAAAATAAAGGTAGAGACCTTTTTCTTCAGACTTAAAGCTTTCCTCTTCTGTGACTCATCTATATCAACATAAGGACTTTTGTTCATTCTGGTCTGCAAATCCAAATTCGGAACCGTTGGATCTTTATATCAAGGCTTAAAGATGTTTTACCAGAGGTAGCTTTTTAACTGCCTGCCACTGTGTAGCAGTGTTAGTAGTTCTTATGTGGACAACAAAGCTGCTTCTTGTTATAATGGATGGCATTCAAGATGTTTTCTTTGCTGGCAGGTCTGTATTGAATTTCTTTTACCCGCTTCCCTGCAATCAGAGATACAGCTAAAAAGCATAATGCATTAAAATTGGCCCCAATTTATTATACATAGTTTTATTTGCAAACTGACAGAGTAGTATAACTGCTTATTCTGATTAATTAAAATACAAACTCTGTCTCAGTTGTGTGGCACTGTAGTTGGGAGAGGGAAGGCCATTAACTATGAAACTTTTTTCATGTGAAGAAGCAAGCGTTGTCTCACTGAATTAAACTCATGTTCACATCTGTCAATGTCCAAAATTGTCTCCATATCATCATCCTCAGTAGGTGCTGCAATGAAAATGTTTGCTAAATTCCCAGTTTGCTTTGAACATTCATGAATGTTAGGATGGATGAAGCAGCAAATCCTGGCTTACTTCAAAACGAGTTTCAGCCACTGTTCAATTTCTTGGCTTTTCTAGAAAGCTGCTAGGTTCAGCGAGTTAGTTATATGCTCTGACTGACATTTGCTGAAACGTTTCCTGTTGTAACTTTTTTCTGATTGAAAAATGTTTTGTAAGCCAGTCACCTTTGTAATTTTAATAAAACTAAGTTTTCTTTTCACAGTGCTGTACCTGGCATTGATTTTGGCCCATTGCTTTTAGATCCTACATAGGGTAGATATTAGTAAAGCACCAGATGCATTAAAACACCTTAAAGCTGTGGTTTGGGTTTCTACTCTTTATTACTGCTCCTGCCCACTCTTGTTGCTTTCAGATATTTTAAAGATTGTGCATGTTTGAGCTATGCTTTGGTTTTGATGTGCTAATGATTCCAGCATTTCTAACAGAAAAAAAAACACTCCATCTTTCTTGCAAAGGCTGAAGAAGAGGTTTTAACACATACAGCAACTGTATGAATGTACTTGAAACATTTTCTTTTTAAAATTAATTGTTCTTGTTGTCTTGAGTTCTAATTTTTTTTAATTAAGGATTACCTGCTTGGCTAATTAATTTTTCTGATCACTTTTGCTTGTGAGTTTAAATTCCACAACGGCAATTCCTTGTAACAGCCAGTCTTTTTCCACAATGAAGTCCCATAAGTAAAAAGTTGATATTTCTAAATTAAAATGCAGATGTTTGCGTTAGTTTGTGGTAATGATTGGAAAACTACTGTAGGAAAAATATTTTTTCACACCAATCTTCACATGCTCTTTTCAGCTCCCTAGAATCTGAAGATTTGGCTGTTCATTTGTATCCGGGAGCAGTTACTATTCAAGGTGTTCTCAGGAGGAAGACTTTGTTGAAAGAAGGCAAAAAACCTACAGTAAGATTTTTGAATTTGTTTTCTCACCTTCTTCCTTTGCCTAGTTATAAATAGAATAAAATGGCCATTGTTCAACTAATTAAAGTGTCTGAGATCTCCTCTGCCTTGCTGATTAAGGCTTAGGGTCACTGCTAGAGTTTGCATTCTTCTGTTTGGTGGATTTATTCAGTTTATAAGGCTATACCCATAATCTAGGGAGTAGAAGAGAAGTGTAATGCTGCATAAAATTTCTTACAGTTACTGACTATTTCAAAAGAGAGGAGCATATTTTGTCTTCCTGAATGGTAGGTGGAGCCTGACAATTTATCAATAGATAATAACCCTTACCATTTGCATTGCAAAATGCTTGATTATGAATTATAAATCAAAATTAAAATTCATAACAATGGGGGATACCTTATAAAGTACGTAAAATGGAAAAGAAAAGGGACAAATATACAATAACTCAATGAAGTGTTCAATAAGGGTTGTAGAAAGTACAGAGTAAGATGCAGAAAATTTTTCTCAGATTAATGAGGAAAGGCACAAATTTTTCTGCTTTCTAGATTTTTAATGCATTCACATGCCTACACGAATAACTAGAAACAGCAGCTTTGGAAACATGGCTGATGGTTTGGCTGGACGGTCAGTGCTGTCATGTTGTTGCAGGATGATGCCTGCTATTTTAAAACTCAGTATCGTGAAACATTTCACTTACCCATTGCACTTTTGTGGTTTTCTCTTTTCTCTCTAGGTAGCGTCTTGGACAAAATACTGGGTAGCATTGTGTGGAACCCAGCTCTTTTACTACACTGCAAAATCTCTGAAGGCTACAGAGAGAAAGCATGTATGTAAAACAGGCATATTCCAGTATCATCTGCCAAAATTAAAATGTGATTTCCTGATGTAAACACTGAGAGTAGTTCAGGACTTGCATGATTTCTAGTGAGCACTGTCCTGTCTTCCAGTCAGTCAGTCGTGTCATACGGATATGCCCTAATGGAAATATGCACGGTTATGTGCTACACCAAGAACATCTGCTTTGCATATGCCAAGCATCTCTGAATTTGTTGGCCTGTAAGGAAGGGAACTATGTCATTGGGTCTGTTTGCTTTTCTAAGGTAGAAGTCATATCTTCTGATGATCTCCAAAGTCTTGCAACAGTTTGTTGCTACTTGATATCCAAACACTGATGTGGAAAGCCTGGGAAGTCACTACATATGGCATTAAACATGTACGGTTTTCATATATGTGGTAAAATTAGACTACTCTTTTTTTCTGTTTAATCATGTAATCCATTAACTACAATGGAGTACAAAACACTTCATATGTTAAGCAGAGAGCTAGCGTATCGTATGATGCTGGCTTTCCTTTTATTCGCTGCAACTTTATTTGAAAGAAGCTAAAAGTACTTTGCTTATGTGGAGACGTAGTAAAAGGATTTTCGGTAGATGTTCCAGGGATGTTATGATACGCGTAGGTCCTGTTTTCACTGGTTAATAATAATGGAAGACAATGCCACCAAAGATTCTGTTAAGAAACTGGGTAAAAATCGAGATACTTGGATCTTTTACTGAGTTCAGTCACTATTCAGAACCATTACTTATAATTGCCTTGGACAGTGTTTCAGTTTAATTTATGACAACTGTCACTGAAAAACATTTGCTTTGCATAACGCTTATGTAATTTTACAAACTAAGATGTTCTTTCAGAATCCTTTTAAGGGGACTGTCTTATTACTTTTTGGGGTTTCATATCCTAACAGTTTTATGTTCAGAGGGTAGAGATTTGAAGCTTAAGATTTCTGATTAGTAGGCTCCTGGATACTTGAATTTTGTGTGTGGAAAGATTGTGTGTAATATCTTAATCTACAAAAAAATTGAGTAACTTCCACTTTTATTGAAAGTAGTTAATTAGGAAATAGTATTCTAATAGTCAAAGTAGTTTAATAATAGCTAATTACTTGTAGAAATATTTGCATAGTTTCTTTGCCATCATCCATCTGCCTCACCCCCACTGACTTTGCTTAGGTGAAATCAAAACTGATCCTACTTACTTTGTCTTGCCAGTTAAGACAATACTAGCCCAGACCAAAGGCCTGTTAGCCAAGCATCCCGTCTCCTGGGTGTTTTTAGAGAAGTCTGTGTGTGTTTGGGTGCATTTGCCTCTGGTATCAGTGAAAACCTTATGGAAGGAGCCTGTCTCATTAAAAGTAAAGGTAGTTGGAAAGAGCAAACTTGTAAACTATTATGAGCAGAAATGCAAAGTATTAAAGAAAAAGAAGGAACCAAGAGAACTTGTGCTAGCATTATGTCACTAACAGTTAGTTGCCTGTTTTTCCTGGAAACGTTGAGAAATGGAGAAGAAACTTTTTTGTAATGTCAGACTTTATGCTGCTGTTACTGATGTGATGCCTTTAGGCTTTATGCCAAAATTGCATATTTTTTTTTTCTTTTTAAGAGTAGAATTTGCATTTGTAAGTCTCTCTTGTCCATTGTCTAGCTGAATGATGGAAGAGTTTACCATACTTGTACCTATTTAATCAGAAGCTTTTGTCAGTATAAATATTTTAAAACAATCTAAGTAACATGCAGGTTTAGAGAACTGGAAAAATTGTATAGCTGCTAATTTTATTGTTTGGAAATTAAGTATATTGAATTTTTATGTGGTCCATTTGCTTATACATTTCCTTCAGAATAACAACTTTAATTGTTTAAATGCTCTTGCCCTTTCTTCAGGAAAAGAGAATGAAGTAAAAAGATAAGAAATGAAAACATTCAAGTCTGGTATCTGATCCTTTTGAGTCTCTGTTACTGCAAAATGTCTTGAAATGCAGTCATATCCATTTAGAATGCTCTTTCAAAAATTACTTTCTGAACCTATTGACTTGACTTTTAATATTCCCCAAGTCACTGATGTGTTGTGATACCTACAACTAAACTACTAGGGAAGAGAGTCTAGTGCCTAAGAAGCTAAAATCTGTCTTGCATCCTTATGTTCTTGTGTTTATTTGTCCAAGGATGTGCCAGTAGACCAATAAAGAAGTTTGCAGATAGAGGCTAGGAGACAGTCAAGTCTGTAATGCTGGCAGGCTTACCCATCAGAAGCCTGCCAGCATTATGGCTTGCAAATACTGAGTGGAGTTTGAGCAATGCAATTCCCAGGAAAGGAAGATGGAGGAGTGGTAGTAAAAAGCAATGGCTGCTAGAACAGATTTATTTTTTTTAACAGTTGGCTCTGTGAAGTTGGACTGAACTATCCACCACAACCTTGGATTTGTCTGTACACAGCTGATGTCTTGCTTTTAGCTTTTTAGGGCAGCAAACATATTTTGTTCTGTTTCTGGATGCAAAGCATGTTACAAAGCTGAGGTCTCTGATTTGGTTTTCGAGGTGCGGTAATGGTTAAAATAATGTAATACCTGTCAGCTATGATTTGGATTGTCTTTTATTTAAACAAATGGTTCACAGGGAATGCACATGTGCTTCTGCTCCAAAGGTGGTTATAACAAGGAGTATAATCTTTATGCTGAAGTTAAGGTGGAAAATAACCTGGTAACCGCTGTGGGAGGCTGAGATTGAGGGATTAGGGGAAGAGGCTCCAGTTTATTAAACAGCCTAATGATAGGTGGTCGGTAGCTCTGTTCAGCTAGTCTACCTGTTTCGTACTTTTAGCCTAACTATCGATGGCTTAGATTTCTATCCGTTTCACTACAGGGTTATTGTACAAAGCCTCAGCTTTTGTTCTGGAGTCTGTGAAGATGACTTGTCAAGTGTCATGGTTCAGTTCACATGCATGCAACTTTCGGGTGCGTTTTCAGAAAGAAAGTTAATCAAGAGAGAATAAACTGTAGATGGTCAACAATCCGTAGATAGTGCATAAGTAGATGTTCACTGTACGAATACTGTCCAGTGATATTCCTAAAAGGTCCATTCTGCAAAATAAAGACATTTGAGACTAGATCTAGGTTTTGTTTTGTTACTGTCCAGATTAAATGGATAAAAAGGATGGTGCTGTCTACTTTGATGCAGATTTCTTTTTCAAAGCTGGATACATTTGAGATTTACCTAGGTAAAATATCCCAAGCATCTTCTGGAGCCATGTAAACATCTGTCTTTTCAGCTTCCTTTCTCAAGGCCTCTGTGACATGGAAAGGAACGCTGGCAACAAAAAAGTCAGTTTGCTATATAAAGTTTCCTGGCTAGAGCTCTCATGGTAAATGTGTCTTGATTACAGGCATGCTTTTGACGGTTCTGCTGCTGCTATTGCTTCAGGCAGCTGAGCCTGAGGACTTGGAATGCGCCGACACTCGAAGCTCTTCCAGGCTTGTAATAGCCAACCTCTTTGGAAAATTACTTCATAAAAATCCAAGTGTAATCCAGCAAAAAGGGCAAGAAATCCCCTCCCTTTTAGACACGGGCAAGCCAGCTGCTCTTCTCATGGCTATGGTCAAAGACAAAGGAGTGCATCTGGTGTAGCGTGTGTTCTCAATGTGAATCTAGCCGAAAGAAAGAGGATGCTGTAGATATCTGGATGTGACAAATGTTTTGTGCTGCATCTACTAAGACTGCTAAATATAATGAGCTTTTTATTTTAAATAGTGAACAGGTTTCAGTTATTACTACAGTAACGGAAAATGGTCTATAATGATCATGTGATCTTCAGAGCCCAGAGATGCGGTACAGGAGAATCTGAGAGGAATGTGTGTGGAATGCTTAAAGTTTTATCTCATATGCTGAAATGGTACCTGCAAACAAGCTTCTGTGGTAAAACTGTAGCACCTGTGCACCTTTAGAAAAGGGTGATAGTAAAAATAGCCAACTTAAAATGAGTCTTAAGGAAGCATTCACCTTGAAATATGTGAATACACCCATAAAAAGAAACCTGTTTATAGTGATTGGGCTGGAAGAATCTTGCCAATTTCTGTGACAACATAGCATGTGTGAGAGATTTTTCCACGTTTGTAGGTACTTGGAAAAGCAACAGAGACTTTTTGAGGCTTCATGCTCGAGCATGAACCCTTGTTCTTTCCAAGCCTTCCATTGCATGTTATATTCAGAATTAGACCGATTTACTGGCATTCTAGAAAACTTGGTAGTTGTTGGTCAGGCACTTTCACTGAAATACCCTGATAAAGAATGCTGTCATTGTAGGAAGTATGTTCAGCCACCGGAAAAATGATTTGAATATTAGAAAGCTGTAAAAATCTCAACAGGAGATGATGAGGAAGAGATTTGTAGGTGCCAGAAGGTTGGAGTGAAAAGTCTGTTCACAGATTAATTCAGAGTTTTTGATTCAAAGATTTATGTGTAAATGCCTTTGAGCTTGGAACAACAAAAATTAGTTATGTGAAGCCTAGCGCCAGAGCTGTGTAGGTTTCTGTGTGTAATAAGAGTGTCATTCCAGTGGCCTGTATAAAAAAAGCAAAGAGGAACTGGGAACATTAAATTACAATGAAGCTTTCATTCCCTTCATGTTAACAAAGCAGACTTGCTGTTAGCAAGGCTCTCTGCATCAGTGGAGAGCAAACTGCCCTGGGGGACTATGTAAACATGGAATACAAATCCAGCCGTGCACAGGGATGGAAAACTGACATGTGTTTCAAGTGATGACGGATTGATGCTGGCAGGAAACACTTTCCTTATGTGGAGCGCTTTACTTCTTGGAGAAGTACCATGATTAAGTAATCATTTTGAATAAAATGAAAAAACAAGCAAGCTCTAGCAGTTTCGATTGCATAGTAATTTCACATATACCTACTGCTATGATATATAACTAACATAGGAAAGTACAAATGTGCTGTTTTCATGAAACTCTAGAAATTAGTGCAATTCAAGAGGTACATTGTTGATCTGTAACTTAGTAAAACTACTTTGTGACTCAAATTTCCACCTCTGTGAAAATGACCTATTAATGCTTTGTAGGATTACTTGGAAGTTTACGTTTTGCAAGTCCCTTTTAGGTGTAAGTTGTGTCATCTTATTTTTCGAGGAAACAGGTGCATTTCGAGGCAATGTCTTCAGTGGGTTCTGAATAGGTACTTACTTTTTTATTTTTAAAAACTCGTGACCTATATCCTTATTTTATTCCCTATCCGTGTCTTTATTCCTTCTTTCAGATAAAATTCCTTAACATATTTTTCATTACTGACTGGAATCTTCAAAGAAATTTTAGGTTTTTTGTTTGGAAAGAAGTTACGTTATCCAGCCCTCACTGTAATGAAATGTTGTCTGATAAAGCTTTATAATTTACTTCCTTTTCATATGAGGTGTAACCAAATCTGTCCACGTCCCAAAGGCAATAGAGTTACTTAACTTTAGTATATGTGGTTCTACAGGGTTTATGGGGAATGATCTTTTCCCACAGTTTTATCCATAGTAATATCAAAAAAAAGGGCATCCATTTTGAGGTTTGGCAGGCGGGTCTTTCCACAGAACAGTCATCATCGCTTTTACACTTAAGCTATCTGTACAAGCATCCCTTCAATATTTCCAAGCTTTTATATTTCCACTGACATTACACAAATGTCAGTTGAACATGACTGGTAGGAACTTCTGATGGAATGGTTCCTGTAAGTGTAACTATAGCGACATAAAGAGGGCAGTACACAGATGATGCATTCAGAAGTGTATAAGATACAGAGAGACTGGACTCTCAGATTATTTTGAACTTCGTTAAAATACTTTTTGTTTCAAATATTGATCTAACATTTGTTCGTGTGAAGTTCTAAGGTATTTTAAACTGAGGTTTAAAATGGAACCTGTTGCACAAGTCCCAGACAGATAAACTTACCTGGACATTCAAGGTCTCCAGTTAATCTATGGCATAGATTAGAATAACTGACATTAGATTTGCAGTGGAATATTATTTATAAAGTAATTATATTTGCGTATAGAGAATGTTCTTATAAACTCTTGTTTTGCTTATGATACCCTTAAATTTATTAGCAGTAACGCTTCCTTTTGCTGAACCAGAGTTCTAGGTTTGTAATGGTAAAGCAATATTTCTAAAATGAAACAAAAGACATTTGATGCTTAATGTTGTAAATCTGCTATGTGGCATTAGTATGAAGAATAAAAGTATTCTAGAACTGTAGATTATTTTAATGACTTAAAATGTCCCCAAGATGATTTTAGCTTTATCGTTTCTAATAACGTAATTAAAGAGGTCAAAATTACTGTGCTAATAAAGAGGTTAGAATAGGGATTTCACAAGACAGGAGGAAGACACATCTGATAAGGACCAGCATATAGCAGAGTTGGACCTTCTGGTCAGAGAAGCGAGGTAAAGCACTGCAGAGGGTAAGAGTGCTAGGACTGATCAAAAAAGTCTGTGTCAGACCCGTGAATGTGGGAAGAGGAGATCTGGCAACTAAATAAAGACTTGAGAGAAACCAAATGAATTAGGTATTGGGGAGTGAATGGGACTGCCTGAGCAAGTAGTGAGAGGTGAATTGTGAGGGTCTACTAATAGATAAGCAAGGACACCAGGGAGAAGGAAACTTGTGGTTTGGAAATGAGTTGGATTTAATGGACAAGTAGCCTGGAACTAAGAGGAGAAGCTTGAGAAGCAGAAATACTGACCAGGTGAATGAAAAGCAGAGTAGGACCAAGGAGCTGTCAAGAGAGAGGCTAGTGTAGCAGAGACAGATGTTGCGCTTAGAAGAGGCCTAAGTTATGTCAATGTGTGAGTAACACCTTGAACAGGAAAATGCCATCATTTTGAACATCTTGTCAATAACTGAGCACGTTACGTTCTGCACACTTGTTTATTGAATCTACACCCTAATTTGATCCGTTTCATTCATCAGGTCATAATATTTAATTACACAGTTGTGTTATCTTGTCCACAGGACTCATGTTACATGTAATTACAGACTATTATAATAATTAATGCATGTTAACTTTGAATAACTATGGCAGGGACAAGTTTAATTCTTCTATTTAACAGTGGAGGAATTAGCTTTGCATTTGTTAATGCACTTTGTTTGAACTCTGGTATCCATGCACATGTGCAATAATGTGGTGAGGAACGCTATTGTATTCATACACTGCAGTTTAGATGTCTGTTGACACATTTTGGGGGATTGTGATACTACTTTTAATTTGTTTTGAATGTCATTCATTGTGGTAAGTTCTGTTTTCACTAATTCCATACAAAGTCCATAAACTTCCTTAATCTTATGAAATGCTATACTTCCTTTGAAGTTATTCTGTGTCTTTAACAGTGTCACTGAGAAGAACTGCCCTTTTGAATACTTGTTCTGTGCAGTGCAGTCAGTCCAGCTGAACCTTCTTGTTTTACTTTAGTTTGTGTCTGCTTGTATTTGCAGTTCAAATCCACGCCGAGTAAGAATGTGTCAGTTGTGGGCTGGATGGTGATGATGGCAGATGACCCTGAGCATCCAGATCTCTTCTTATTGACTGATTCTGAGAAGGGTAAGCAATGCTAGCACCGAGAGTGCAGTGATTCCCAGAATAAACATTTGCTTTGTTGAGGTATTCATAAGCACCTAAATGAAATTGGAAGGATGTTACCTTTCGCTTATTCAACTGCTCTCCAATGTGTCGTGTTTGCTTCTGGAATGCTATGGGAACAATTTTCCGTGGAGAATCCTGAGAGTCTTCATTAAGTTCTAAGAACTCTCCAAATTCTAACAACTCCAGTTGTGATTTTTATTAGAAGTATTCATCTGCATTCTTTTAAACTATATTGAGACCACTCAGAGGCATTTTCACATACGTGAAAATGTAAGTAACAATAAAAAAAAGTTCAATATTCAGATAACACTAGGTGCTTGACTAGTCCCTTCTCCTCTCCAAACAGAAAAAAACCCAACAAACTCAACCCAAACCATCTGTTCAAATGTAGCACTATTACCAGGAAAAAAAAAACAAAAACCACCAACTAAGAGATCTTGACTGTTTTGCAGAGAAGCGTTGATTTCCATTACTCCAACATAGTGCCCTGGTTTCAGTTCAAACTGTGAAGAAATTGTTACTTTTCCCTAGTACTTCAAACTATGCAGAAAGAATATCATTAGAAGTTTTGATAAAGGAGCTTAACATTATTCATTGCTTTGTCTACTTCAAGTCTCAGTACATTTTATTTCTGAGCATCTATTCTAGCACTGCTGATGTGGTGTAAATTATGAATGCTTGTCAGCTTAAACTCAGCATCAGCAACCTGAAGTGTTTTTGTGATACTTGGCTGTTCTGAACCTAAGCAAACACTGTATAATACCAGATACTGAAAATACTAGTCTGAAAGACGTCAATATGCCTAGGAACAATTTTCAAATATTTTCAGATGTAGCTTCCTAGAGTTCATTTCAGTGCTATCTTGCACTTCATTAAAATATTCTGAAATGATATTATAAACAGTGGCAATGAACAGAAACATTTTTGTTGTATGGTTCTGAGAAATGTTTTGTTCTTTCCTAGTTGACACTGGTATTAGTTGAAATCTAGAATGTTGGAAAGGAAGACAGGCGAGCTGAAACTTCTCTTGCACTAGGTCAAACAATTAAGTTGCACCTATGCCAGACAAAGTGTAAAGTTATATGAACCTTCTGCTATTAAATCTTTTCAAAATGTTTTAATATAGAGTTATTTGAATATGGGTCGGATTTAAGTATATAGCACCGTTTGTGTTTTTTTATCAGTTTTTTCTCTACCTTTCTCTCTTAGGCAATTCATATAAATTTCAAGCTGGAAACAGAATGAATGCAATGCTCTGGTTTAAACACCTGAGTGCTGCCTGCCAAAGCAACAGACAACAGGTGAGAGCAAGATGTTGAAAAGGAATATGAATCATAGAATCATAGTATGAGCCGTTAAGAGCTCAGAACTGGTACACCTTCAAGATGACTGAGCTGCAACTGATTGCTTTGGATGAAGAGCAATCTACTCTGAGCAGCCTGTACATCGATCTCACATGTATTGATTTTTTTGCAAACAAGTCCTCAGAGCTTCTGTGGTAAGGCAGAAAGATTTGGGGCTATCTGGAGGCTAATTTAAAGCAATTGGGGAATTGGAAGGAATGCTCTAAAATATCTGAGTGGTGGTATTTTTGTCATTGCCCACTTTTTAAAAAGAGGCTATTGTATGGTTATATAAAAAGCTGTAAACTGTAGCACTCAATATCAATACCAGCTAACTCTCCCTTAGTGCCATTTTGACAGGTCTTGGACATGCATGTTTTCTGTGGTTTGTGTGTATTTCTAAAATGTATTAAAACATAGTGTAGTCCTGGCTACAGCTGGCAAACTTTGAAAGCAAAAGTAGAATTTTCCATGAATCGAAAAGGAAGGTAACACTACTCCAACCCCTGTTAAATTCTATTCCCATATAAATTCTTACTGACCTTTTTCATCAGCAAAATTGTTTTTAAGTTACCATTTTGTCTTCCTGAAGTCTCCCTTGTCCTTTGCACATTTGTTTATGGAGTTCCCAGAGCAAAAGTACTACTGAATTTCAAGGAGAAACGAAAGAACCTTTCCAGGTCCTTCTGTACTTTCTTGTTCAGTTCTGCTTCTGAGAGAAATCTAAGGTAGTAAGCAAGGTTGCAGGAGCTCCCTTGAAAGTATGTGAGACAGTGCAAAGGAGAGGAAATTGTGTTCCTGGCTGGAGAATGTGGGAATAGTAGCAAATAGTGGCAAAGCTTGCAAGAAAGTGGTGACTTCGAGGCAAGCCTGAAAACTGCCCTCTGAGGACAGCTTTTATTCAATAAGACTTAACAATACTATTTAATGCGAACTTGTTTAAAGCATTCAGCCCCTAGCTTGTGCAAAAGCAGCAGACTTAAGAATCTTGGCGGGGCCTCCTGTGCAAAATATGACAGCAAAGTGAAGATAAGTGTAGGATATTTTAAAAGAAAAAAGGAGGGGAGGATTAATGAAAAAACCCTACCACTAAAAGGCCAAAAGCTCTGCTACCATAATTTGTTGCATATTTTTTGTTTCCTGGCATGTTCTATGGTTGAACTATTTGGGTTCTTGCAGCATAGTTGCTCCCACAGAAGCAGCAGTGCTTCACGCAAACATTAGGTTACAAAAGTTGGCTTACCAAATAAGTAAAAACAAACAAAAAAAACCAAAACAAAACCAAACTTGTAAAATGTTTCTCTTGATTGTGATTTGACTCCTGATCAGTGCTTTCCCTGGAGAGATGCATTATGGTACTGTTCAAAATGGAAGATCTTGTTTGCTTCTTAACAGTATGACTGCCTAAGAAAGACTGGATATTTAAATGTGCTTTCAATGGACTATAGACACTGGTTGAATAATATTGAGAACTATTTTAATAGATGTTATCTTTAATGGTGGAACTTTAGCCTAGTTAATCATTCTTGCTGCTACAGGTAAGTGGTAAATGCAGAGTGAAAAATGCTTGTTTCAAATCTGACTAAACTGGGTATTCATTGACAGTCATCAGGAATGTGGTGCCTCTTTAATAACCTGAGTAAACAAGACATGTTGCTGTCAGGCAAATTCCTGATGGGGAGAAAATGGGCTTATAAACTAGTGCAAATTAGCTTTAATCTTCATGAAAGGGAGTGATGTCTGCAGCAGGCACTCGGGTTTCCTATGGGAAAAGCCCAGGCAAGTGTTTATGCCTTGTTTTTTTAAATTAGTCTTAAAAATACTAGAGAGCCTACATCAATCACTGACCTGTGTGCCAAGAATTCTCTAGCCAGGACTCAAGTGAGAAGGTTCTGCTTGTGTAGTTTGGTGCTGAGATTTATCATGTTAAGGTTGTTTTGCTGACAACTTAAATCTTAAATGTCGTCAAAATTAATAAGATCTACGGCCATATAATAAAATTATAAACCATGCAGCAGTTTAATATTTTGGTTACACCTGGGTTTTCTACAGCTCTAAGTATATTTGCACTGCTGAATGATAGTTGCATTCCTCCTCCCCTTTTGAGACAGAACGAGCCTTAATGATGTGCATTTAAACAGGTGGCTGGTCTGTGAAACACTGGAATGTGAGTAGCTACTACCCAAAGTAAAATCTGCTATCATTTATATTTTTGTTTTCAGGTTCCTGCCAACTTGATGACCTTTGAATAATAGGCTAATTCAAAACAACAAAAAAAGAACAATTTGAACCATCTCATAATGGTTCTGATGAAAAATGCGCCAGCTGTATTCTGTGCCAGAACAGAGCCTGTCAACTCGATCTCTGAACTCTGGAGCCCTGAACAAAACCACTAATGGCTGGGGAGTAGAGTCCCCCAAATTAAAAATGGAGTTGCAACATGAATTGCCATGGACCATGCTTCGTTGTATTCTCTGAACTGACCTGTGGAAACCACTGCCTTAAAGAGTGAAAGGAAAAACAACATGAAACACCAAATAGTGTGTGTGAAACTTCTGGCGGTGCTGTGCTTGAGTTAAATAGATTGTAGCTAGTTTGAGTTTCTTTTAACTTTATACTAATTTTGAAAATAACTCACCTTTTTAGGCATTCTTAAGAAAACAAGTAAACTGGTATTTAAGAGTTGTATCAAAAGCTGTGTGTGAACCAGGTAAAAAAGGTACTACACGTTCTAGAGATGTTGTTTAGACTATACCAGGAGTTCTCGATGGGAGCTTGTCCCAGGCACGCTCAGCCTGGAGCAATATTTTTTCTCTCAGACCTACAGGTGTAAGAAATGTTAACAACCACAAGTTTAAAATAGCAGTAAGCTTGCAAACCGTAGTACTGTATGGGAGCCATATTCCTTACGAGTGGCACAAAGGCTGAACACTTGCACGCCAAAATTTTTTTTTGGTACGTTGTTACCTAATTCCTGGTTAAAAATATAGTTCACGTGTTTCGGGTGGTCGGGGGGGGTGTGTGGCAGAGACAAAACTGAAAGCACTGTTGGGTCAGAACTGAGTGTTTTCTTCCCCTTTGTTTCTACACCTGTCACTCTCCTACACACAAAGGTTGAATGACAGAAAAAATAACACCCAGGTATAGCTCACTGAGATATTTTACTTCTCTGGGTATCTGTTAATTATCAGTTAGGGACCACTGTTAGTGTATGGTGTTTCATAGTATCACTTAAGATCTACGTTTTAAAAAGATAGAGGCACAATTTCAAGCTTTCATGTTCTCATTTGGCAATAATGGATTTTAGTGTCTGTCTTGGTCAAAACAGTTGACATTGTGTGGTATTGATAACATGGCCTAAAGCAGACCTTACATACAGAAGCTCTTTTGATCTTCAGGCAAATAATTTAAGAGAAGGTAGGATAACCTAAAGAGAGAAAAGGTGTGGGACTATCAGAATTCCATCCTTGACAGGAATAATTCTTGGTCACTGAAATTACTCACAGAGAAAAACATTATGGTTGTAAAAAGGGAGCCATGGTTTATGTGTGTGTTTTATGCTTTAGGCTTTGATTCTTTCTTTATTTGGGTTTCCTTGACATCACCTGGATATAGTTTCCTGGATGATTAGTCTTTCTTTAATCTTCAAAAATATGATCTTTGTAAAGCAAGGAAACATTGTCCAAAATATGACTCTGATATCAGAACTTTGAAGTCTGTGAAAAAGTAGTAACTGTTCCATTGACATTGTGGTTTAGTGGCCGTAAATACGCTTGCAGATTCCACCATGAATACTCCTTTTTAAAAAGAAACAAGCTACCTACCAGTCTGTGGCAGAGTTATCTGACTATCTAATAAAGGTTTCTACTAGTAGTTATTATTTTGAAAATGTACAGTTTGTTTATTGCATCTGAGTAGAAGCCTATAAATTCACTTTTTTTTTCAGAGTCAAATTGATCTTTTAATGGAGATTACTAATTTCTCATTTCTGGGGGACAGAAAAGAAGGATAATCTAATCTCACAATAAAAAACCGAAACAAAACACAAACCCCAACCACTTGGTGATGTAGAGTAAAGGGTAATAGGATGGTTTATGTTTCCAAGAATTGTTCTTGTGAATTGGCGCTTGGTAGAAAGAAAACAGTAGAAGGATGCTTCTGTCAGAATTATACCACAAGCACCATGGGAATTTGTGTCCCTTTGCAATTTTTGGTGGTGTTGTTTTGATGGGGAATGAATAGTTTGTCCTGATCCTGAAGTCATGTATTTTCGTAAGGGGTTGCTCTTCCTGAATCCCTCTGCAATTCACACATCTCCCAAGTTTACCCATGTTGGGTGTATAGTAAAGACAACATCTTCATAGTCAGCAGTGTTACTGTAGTAGACTTTGCACAACTTTAGTTTTGGTTGGGTTTTTTTGATTTTAAAAATTACTTAATGTATGTTTCTTCTCAACAACTAAGTGTTTTTTAACAGTGTGTGTACTTTCTTAAGCATTGTGGATAATAGCCTGTGGATTTTTAATTTATAAATAAGCTATTACAAGTTCGTTGCAGCATAACTGTATGTAGTGTTCTGTTAGTGAAAGGAAACATGCAGCTGAGAGCAACAGCCTGACATCACACAGCTTTGCTAAAGACAGAGCCAGGTCAGAAGGTGTCATTTATTATTGGGGTTTTTTGTATTTTCCAGCTGTTTTGAGTTAGGTTTTTGTGGTAGCAAGATGGTGGGGAAAACAGTTCACAAATCATCATTTAGTGAATTGTTGCTATTACCAACTTTCATAGGCCTCCTCCTCTTCCTTGTTTTTCTACCCTCAGATACACTATTTTTTGTGGGAGAGATTGAATCTTGTGGGAGGAGTTTCTTAAAATGTGTAGCCAAAATAACTGGAGTGATTAATGACAACACAGAAGACATTATTGGCACTTGTTACAATGAGTAGTTCAGTACTTTCCTATTGTTTATCTCCTATAGCCACGTAGTCCTACACAACAATGCAGAAATACTGAAATGTTACATATTTTGAGATAATTGGTGCTCAGAAAGAGGTGGTGGTTTTGTTCCTTGAGGGAAACCTGCCTCAGCTAAGCTTTGGAAAGACTCAGACAAGGCAAATACACTGTAAAGAACGTAGTACTGCTCTTTTTTTAAAAAGGGGGTAAAAAAAAAAAAAACCCTAAATAATTAAAACCAGTGCTGAGAAAACAAAGACAGCAACGAGCTCATGATATTCAGGTAAGACTGTCAATCAGACTGCTTCAAATAGTTGACAGTTTCTCTTTGATTTTTATTTTTAATGTATCGCTCTAATTCTTTATCTTGTTAATAGCTGCTGAAATACTTCAGCTAATATTTGTCACTTTATTTCTTAATGTTTTGATTTTGAAACTAAAGATGCTCCTGTTTTGGAGGCATATGAGCAAAAAGTATTCAGAGTAGATCTTCATAGCAGGACTTCACATGTAAATGTTAATCATCTGCTGACTGCTAACCACTTTGTTAGCTAAACTAACAGTCTTGGGAAAGATTGAAAAACAGGGAATGTCTGGTTTATGAAATTGGTGCAGTGCATTAGAAATACGGAACATTGCACTGGTTGTTGAATACTTACTGCTAACTTTATCTTCCGAACTTAACCCGTACTACGTTTGGCCAGGTTTTTCAAACATGACTTCTATTCCAGTGTTCTCAGAAAGCAAATAAGGAGATTTATTTTTGAAAAATTCTGATAATTTGAGTGTATATAGCTCATCCCAGACATATATTTCATTTTGCAGACATTTCATGTCAGAGGAGTATTACTCAGGCTGTTACGATTCATTAAGTATGTAGGTGCAAGTTACAGGCATTAAAACTACAAATACTAAGTAATGCACGTAAATACTTAATGAATGAGCTTTAGCACCCAGCTTTAAAATTGTGTTACTGTTAGTTCTTTTAAATTACTGTGCAAATCATATCCTACTTAAGAAAGATCTGAAAAGGAAGGAAAATACGATAATGGCAGAGATTATTTGTCAACTCCACAGCTGGCATATTAAGCAGCCCCTTAGTTATGCAGATGTTTTAGCCTCCTGCTTGGGGAATCGGTGTCTCTTTTGGGGAATCAGCTGATTAACTTTCCTCCTCCAAAGACAACTGCGGAGCACTTGAACCTTTACCAAGAAAAGCGTTTCTAGAAGTATGCATATTTGAAAACATTGGGAGCAAAAGAAAGCATAAAAAAACCACAGCAGGATTTTATTAGTTATCTTTTCCTCACTAGAAGTAAATTCATCTAATCTAATTTTTCTTGCAACATCAGCCTCCTCTATTTGCATTTATACATTTTCAACAATAGTCCTTCTCTATTACTATCAGACATAACAAATATTAAAAGGAAATGCTTTCCCTTCCAGCAGAAGTAATTGCAGTTTTTTGTGCTGCTAAGGCACTCAAGGAGGTGAGGTCCCTTTTGATAAAAGGCCAATTGATCTTGTGGTTTTGGTTAACTGTAGCAAATCTTGTCCAAATCAAGGTAAGCTAAATAATGGGATGTTATTTCTTCTGGCTCTGTCAGTGGCATTTTTCTTCATTCTTTGTCTTTTTTTTTTTTTTTTGGTATGCTAACTCACCAGCGTTAGTAGTTCCAATCTTTTCCATGGCTGGCTGTAGTATGCTGCCTGTTGTAAGCATCAAGACACCAGGGCTGGTACTAGATCACATCAGTTAATTGCTTATTCTCCCTACAAGGACAAATTTTAAAAGTTTTGTTATTATTTAAGTATTGCCCTTTTTCTTTAGTTTTTCGCTGAAGGTGGCTCATGCATAAGGTGATTTGGCTTGGGAAAGTTGTCACTAAAAGAATCTGCATGAGTGGACATTTGATTTATTTGTAGGGGTTATTCTTTTTTTAAAACCATCGTTCTAATTTGTAATGCATCAAGAGAGTGAGTGCTTGGATTTAAGGAGGACTTTTGTCAGTGCCTTATTATTAACTTGAAGACCAATTCCTTTATTTCAGTGCTGAGCGTACCACAATGGCAGACTTGCGTACTGTGTCCTTGATGTCCCAAGGGGTAACATTCCTTACATTCATTGCATTTCTGCAGAAGTTAGTTGTTTTGGTCCATGTAAAATAGTTGTGGCTTGAGTTGCTTTAGCGTGGTGGTTTTTTGGTTTCTGTTTTGTTTTGGTTTTTTTCTGTATTTGAATAGCCTCTTTTTAGGAAAAATGCAAAGGTATTCGGTAGCTTGAGCCTGTTCAGCTTTTATCAGAAGTAACTCAGACTTCAAAATTAATTTATTTTTATTTTGGTATGTCTCTAAATAAATTTAGTAGCAGGGAAAATGGAAAAGGGTAGTCCAAGTCATGGTCCAGATTACATGAATTTAAGAGCTCACATTATTAGAAAGGAGCTTGCTCTTCTGTGTCTCATTTTAATTTAAACACTGAAGAGCATTCTTATGAGAAGATTTAATTCTTACAAGCTTTTTGTTAATGTAAAATAAGTACTACAAGAAAAAACTGTTTGGGGAAAGAGAAGGCTTGGATAGGTCTTATTCTTTCTTAATATCCCATAAGCTCAGTTTTGTATATTGTATTTCTAGTGCCAACACTATGTAGAGAGTAGTGTCCTTCACTGAAACAACTGCTGGAGATTGTTTTAGTAGCAAGACTTTATAAGCTTTGGAAGGGGAAATGAGAGAAAGAATGTGTTGTTCTTAAGCAATTAAATATTTGTTTTCCTAGAACACATCCTTATAAAAACATAGCAGTTTTACTATAGTGTTTATAAATTCAGATGTTGGAAAGGCAAGGAGAATTTGAAAATTAATCTTTGGTTTTTCTAAGAATCTTCAAAGACAATAGAAGGGTTAGGTGAAAGGAGAAAAGACACATTACTTACTTGAGCCATGCCTGTTGCAGAAATGAACTGACAAGTTTTCTTGAAGTTAGGTTGCTAAGAAAAAAGCTGTACAAAATGTAATGAAATGCAAGTTCTTGCAGATCAGGGCGTGATTATGGCTGTTAGCCTGATCTTGCTCTTAAATGACTAAAAGCATCCTAAATATTCTGTTTCCTTTGTGTGTTTGATTAGCATATTATTTGTCTTTATTTGGGTAGGTTCTGACCTTCACATGTGTTTCCTAAAGGTATTTCTTACCATTCCAAAGCTGTTCACAGATGAAACTGAAAAGCAGTGTAAATTGATTAAACCTTGAAATAAAGGGTTCTAGGGTGTCTTGTTCAAGGGCACTTCTAGCTCCTTGTGTACAGGAGCATATCCATTCAAATACTACTGTACTGAAGTGTGAAAAGCACCAGGGAATCATAGATATGTTTTATAATAATCCTCTTAAGGACCAACCATCACTGGAAGGGGGATCAAGGTTGTCACGCGGTAAACACGAGCCATTTTTAATATTCCCTGCTGGCGTGAGGCGTTCTAGGGATAGAGGGATTGCACTATGATCTCAGTGAGTGATGTGCAGTTTGGCTGTCCTCTAGCCTTTTTCTTCAACTTTTTTAATACTTTCTTCTGTGTGTGCGTGTGAAAATTGTGTGTTTGCATAAGCTAGTTTAAATGAATTCAAGTACAGGTTTCAAAAATCTTTCCTACTGAAATAAATGATTTAAAAGATGGCCTGTGTCTGAAGTTTTAATTCCTTATTAAAAAAACTGCATTGATACTGCAACCAGGTTTTGAAATGTGGAATTTGACTGTCTTTCAGAATGATGCTGAGATCAGCTGGGATTTTAGTAGCTTTTTTCAGTGAACATCTGAAGTGTAGCATGTAAATATACCATTGTCTGTTGGAACAAAAGAAATCCAAAAACTAGCATGAAAATACAGTTCACTGAAGAGATTTGTGTTTGGTTTCAGAGATCATTCTGCT